CCCACCTTGGCTGTAGGGAAGGGGCTGCCTTGGCCACCAGGGCCTGGCCCCTCCCCAGGCTGTGAGCTTTCGAGGGTGGGGACGAATTTTGCCCAGTGCTGGAAAATCTTCGCTGCCAGCCCCTGGCTGTTGCCTGATTCTAAAATCCAGGCTAGTGATCGTCAAACTTTGTTCCTTGGAGCTTCCTTGGGGTCATGACCACCAACAGGGGCATGAGGGGACCAAAGGGGCAGGCTCCAGGCCCTCACCTGTCAGTCCGAGCACTCTTTGTTCTGTCTCACACCACTGGGTTTCTCCAGAGGATTCTATTTGAACAAAGGGTTCGCAGGCTGATCAAAAACCATCGTTCTAAACATAACAACCTCCTGTCTGCAGTCTTTCGGCAGGACACCTAGATGATGTCAGCACCCTAAATCACAGTCATATTCCAATCCTGCCTCCTTGTGAGGATGGTTTTGGCTATTCCTGATGGGAGCGTGGGCAGGGGCACATCACAGACCTCTCCTAGCCCCGCTGTGGGTGGAGTGCACCAGCTTAATGCTCAGAAGGCTCCTTTATCATATTAATCCCGAGTTCTTGGGGAAGGGTCGTCTTTGCTCTTCTCCGGTGGTCCCTCACCCCCGCTCAGTCTTCTGTACTGCCTGCAGGAACCAGTCTAAAGCCACCGCTGGCCAATGCAGAGGCCCAGCTCCTGGCTGGGCTCTGATTTCCCCAGCCCTGCCTTATTCCATTTTACAAGTTCCTCACGTTCTCTCACCCCATCCCTAGCCCCAGAAGTAACCTCTCCATGACCCTGACCTTGAAGGAGAACTAGCTGGCGACATGAAAATATTTTCATTGACCACAGACACTGGAAAGCGGAGATTCCCCATCTACTTTGGGTCTTAGGTCCCTTCGAGAATTAAAGGGGAACTATGCACCCTCGCTCCAGAAGGACACCTACGTACAAAAATCCTGTAGCAAATTCAAGGAGTTTGTGGACCCATAACCCCCCCCCCCAGGACTCCAGTTAAGAGCCCCTTCTCCAGAGGGAGTGAGGCTGAAAATTAGCTTGTTTAGTGGGAGGTGTCATTTCAGTCATCATCAATAATGCTTTGGTCATCGCTGATTTCTGAGTTTAAAATATCCAACAATATTAATTGCTACCATGTATTGGTCATTTGTGATGTTACTGTACTCAGAATTGTTAATCTTCACAAATGCCTATGAGCTAGAGATAGTAGCATTGTCCTTATTTTGCGGTTGAGGAAACACAGGCTGGAAGAGCTTCTGTAACTGGCCCCGGGTCTCCCAGCCAGCTAGTTGCCTGCGCCAGAGCCTGCCCTCTGAGACAGTCTGTTACAAGGTGACCCCTGCCCTGGGTGACCCTGCCCAACTGTTAGATTAGAACTTGATGGCCAGGATGGGTGTATTAGTCAGCTAAGGCTGCTGTAACAATATACCATGGATGGTGGCTTAAACAACAGATGTTTATTTCTCACAGTTCTAAGGGCTTGAAGTCCAAGATCAAGGTGCCAGCATGGTCAGTTT